CTATGGCATTTCAAGGTCCCTGCCAGCAAGTGAGCTTCAGCAGCCTGTGCTTGCAAACCGCACGAACTGCCTGCGTAAAAGAGTCAGAGTTTGCGCTGGCAGGACAGCCCAGAAAGTCGGCATTTTAAAACGGCTCAGCTTTTTTCCTGCTACGGCTGAAAACCAAAAAGCATGGGTTCAGCTTTTCTCAATACCATTTAAGTGTTTCGTGGTCGGACCTCTTAAGAGCTGCAGGGTTTTGCAGCTGAAGCTGAGTCAGGAAGCCTCTCTTAGATGAGAGCGCTTGCTTGCCTCTAGCAAGCAGAGCAGACCCGAGAAGTTGCCACAAGAAACATGTTTTACTCTATTCTTTTCCAAGCTTTCTCAGGCTTTCTGTGGACTCAATTATCCACACGTCTGGGCGCCATTTGTACTAATAAGGGCAGCGGGGCTGCGAGCCCAGCACCCCGGCCGCCTGCTAGCTTATGCCCTGAAATAACAACACACAAATTGTTTCATTTAAACATTGCTTGGCCCTTTAGCTCTAGCCCTTACTGGCTAATTCTGATATCTCGATCAACCCATCTCTAATAATCTGTGAGCACCGGTCTTACCGGGAAGATTCTAGCCTACATCCATGCTGGGTCGGAGCTTCATCGCGTGTGTCTGCCCAGGAGCGGGGCATGGTGTCTCTTCTGAGGCGTCTGCTCCCGAGAGGAGAACTGTCGAGTCTCTGAGCTCACTTCCTCTTCCTCCCAGCATTCTGTTCTGTTTACTCCACCCACCTATGTTCTAAGTTATGAGGCCAAGCAGTTTGTTTATTAACCAATGAAATCAACAGATTGATATATGACACTCCCACATCAATTAACCAAAGTTCATACCAATGAAATGTATTCATTTCTCTAACATATCCTCCCCCCTTTTTTAGAAAGAGTTTGACTGTGACCATTAACTACTTATAATCAACCCCCCTTTTACTGAAAACAATAACTTTGGGAACTTGGGCATTATTTTCTCTAAATTGCTTCCTGCTGTTCATTGGATGAAGTATTTTTAAGGTTCATGAAGACCTTTCTGGGACTCTTGTTCCATCAAACTACATTAGCCTGGAAGTAATCCACAGGTTCTCATCTTCTGTGGAAACAAAAGCAGAACCTCTTTTTTAAAGTAACATATCCTTAGACTCAAGTTTTGAAGTCAAGATAACTTTAAAAGATACATGTTGGTTTAACTTAGCAGTCCCAGACTCAAATGTTTTTCAGCAGTTAACTCAAAGCAAACAATAAAAACCCTCAATCATGCACATAATCCACTCTGTGTATTTTCCATCTTTATATGGTTTATTTTTCTCTTACTTTTTAATATTTATTATATTATTTTTACTCATTTAATCTATGACTGAACTCTTTCTTCTCTCTCTCCTAAGCCCATCTACATTTATCCAACACTGTGACCCATTCAGAAGTCTTTTTTGTCTGAACCTATCTTATTGTGTATCTGTAATCATTTTCTGATCAGGAGAATTTATTTAAATGCTAAGCTGGCATGGCTAGGACTAACCATGTGGCTTTGCCTGTTGACTCCTCTGTTGCGGGAAATCCTTCCGCTCCTCCAGCCTATAGCCGCTGAGATACCAGCCCATTGGTGCGTGGTCTCTCTCCCTTTAAAAAAGCGGCTACTTCCCTTCTCGCTCTTCTTCGCTTCCTGCTTCGTTTCCGGCGACTAGACTCCTTCCTAATTGCGCAGAGGGCTGTTGTCTGGGACGGTTATCTGTAAGTTTTTTCCCCTTTAAATAAATACCACCCTATTAATCATAATTCCAAACTGGTGTGGCATTGTTTGCGATTTATGCCTTCACTCCTCCCTGTCAAACTTTGAGGAGGTATGTTCATAGCCTCTGAGATTCATGCTGTCTGTCTTAGCTCCAGGGACATAGCAGGTCTATGTAAACATTAAGCACCTTGTAACACTCTGCTCACAAACTCCATTTAAGTGCTCTGTAGCAGGACCTTCCAAAAGAGACAGAGCCATTCATGCACCAACATGAACCAGGAAGTCGTCTCTTGGAGAAGCTGTGCTTCTGCTTTCTGCCAGCAAACAAAGCCTATCTGAAAAAAAGTGGCTAGCAAAAAACTCTAATTAACTCCCATTTTGTGGTGCTAGAAGCCCTTTCTTTAAGCTTTCTGAGGCTTTATGTGGAAGTACATGGATGAACATTGGAGCCATTATGTAAACAGAGACTTAAGTTTCATTTCCCAGTCACCCAGACCCGAATAATCACACAAAACTATATTAATTACAGCACTGTCTGGCCAACACTCAGGTATATTCATAGCTAGCTCTTGCATCTTATATTAACTGATTTCTATTATTTTATATTTCACCCACAAGGCTCTTGATTTGTTACTTCACATCTTGCTTCTTGGGTGGCTACAGGCCATCTGTCTGACTCTTCCTTCTTTCCTCCTGCATTCAATATAGTTTTCCCACCTAGTGGCATTCTGCCCTGCCATAGTCCAAAAGAGCTTCTTTATTAACCAGTGGTAATAAAACACATTCATACCGTACAGAAAGGAATCCCACATCAGTTTATAAGTGTTCCTCTGTCCCAAGTGAACTCCAGCATTTGTTAATATTTGTATTCTTGATACTGGACTTTCTCAAGGCATGAGAGGGAATCATAACAAATTTTAACCTGTATTTCCCTACTTTCTAAGTTTTTTCTAGACATGTGTGTTTCCTCCTTTGACAATTCTGCTGTTACTCCTATGGCAATCCTCTGCATTGTGCCATTTCCTTGTTATTTAGGTTTTCTGACCCACATATATTCCTATTACTAATCTTCTGTCAGATGTTACCTGGGAATAGTTCCTCCCATTTTTAGCTGCATATAAGTTTCCTTTGCTCTACATTACTTTTTGAGTGTCCTGACATCCAATTTACCAAGTTTTGGTTTTACTTCCTGTGCTACCAGAATCTTATTCACATAATCCTGACATATGCTGCTGTGTTTAAATGTTCTGCCTATGTTTGCTCTATAAGTTTAAGTGTATTGGGGCCCACATTAAGGGTTTTGATCATTCTGAGTTAATTTTTTAAAGGTGTGATCTTTGCATCTAGTTTAATTCTTCCATACAGTGCTAAGTAGTTTTACAGGACCACCTGTTTAACAGGTTGTCTTTTATACAAAGTACATTTTGGGTTCTTTGTCAAAGTCCAGGTAGGTATAGTTGTATAAACTTTTATCTAGGTTTCTAGTCTATTCTATTGATCTGCACATCTTTTTGTGCCAATACCATGCTGTTTTTACTACTAGGTCTCTAGTACTGGTTAGAAAGAAGGTGTGATGAAGTATTCTACAAAATCATTTTTGTTCAGAATTACCTTGGAAATCCTATGTCTCTAGTGGTTCCATGTGAATTTCAGCATTTTTCTACGCTATATGTGAAGAATGTCCCTGCCATATTAATCAAGACTGCATTGAGTGTGTAGTGTGCTTTTAATAGAGTAGATCTTTTCATACAATTGATTCTTCTAAACAACGAGTATGGGAGGAGAATGTCTTTTCATCTTCTAAAGCCTTCTTTAATTTCTCCCTCACATGTATATATAATTTGTATATACATATAAATATATATCTCAAAATTTTCCTTATAGATTGCTTTCATTACTATGGTTAGGTTTCTATCCCACAAGTTTGTATTTTTGTTTATTCACTTGTTGGCCAGTAATTCTTTCATATTTTCAATCTCACATGGACAGTTGGATACATAATTGTTAAATGTTCTTGAATGAAATAACAGTGCAGTCTTAGTTCAGCATCCACAATGCCAAAACCAATACCCATTATCAGTACCTCTGGGGATGTCCAGCCCTTGACAGCTGTCAAACAGTCATGCTTGCTGCTCCTGAACTGCTAGAAACAGGCTCCTCATGTGGTCAGAGAACAGGCTTTGCTCAGCCTTCCCTGAGTGAGGCAGAGGAGAACTGACCTGCCCCAGCATCAGCCAGTGTTCGAATCTCACTCCAGCATTTCCTCTTTGGATGATCTTGGGAAATGACTTAACTTATTTGAGTCTGACCTTCCTCACCTGTAAACCAAAGATCAGAAGGAGTACCTTGTAAGATGTTTGGAAAGTTTAAACGCTGTTCATACACATGCCACAGTGTGATCCTTAGCTGGTGGGGGCAATGCTGCTATTTTTCTTTATTAAGCCAACAACTTCCTCATGATTTGTTAATTCTCTTCTCTGAGATTAATTAAGTTCTATTCTCTTCCATGAGGGAAAGTATTCAAATACTGGAAGATTATAATCATGCTTCACTTGTATCCCCAATCTCACATTTGGGTTTTTAAATTCATTGTCACTCAAATCACTTTCTTCATTAGATGCTCCAGTTTATCTGTAAGTCAAGATGCACCAAGATGGTCCAGATACATACAAATGGATTCAGAGTTTCCAAAACTACAAACTGGGTCCTTGGGCTGAGTTCCCTAAACTGTTAGAGCACAGTGAACTTAGAATCTTCTCAAACACTTGGCATTTCATGAGCTGAAATTTACTAACCCCCTTCACTGAGTGTGAAAATTCACTCGCTATTTCCTGGTGTGCAGTCTCACATCATCTTGAATCTGCCATCGAATTAGGAACACATATTTGTGGCATGTAAGTGTACAAGGTCAAACAAGGACAAAAAATAGTTTTCTACTCAGAAATAAATGTCGAATGTTTTAAACCAGTAAGGGACTTCATAAATTCTCCATAAAAAATATAATCTAGGATAAAATTGAGGCTGTGATCCTGTGGAAGAAATGTCTATTGCCATGAACATGTCTTCTCTCTCAATGATAGGTCTGGTTCCACGAGTCCTTGTGTAAGGAAATGTTCACCTTCTAGATCATGTCAGAATTTCTTTAGTTGATTCTCAAAATCCCAGGCATGGTTGGGAGTTGCACAAGCTGCACTGACTGTTGGTGACAGGCATCATTACAGATGATCATCTCTCCTTTCTTCCAGGAGACCTCAGGCCTGCACAGCCCATAATCCCTACACCTCACAAAGGTCAGTAACATTTATACAAGGCCAGAGAAGCCAATAACATTCCGCAGGTAGATTATCTGATCCTTGAGAGAAGGTCAGTGAGAAAGGAGGGAGCCTCACTTTGCAAACCTTACCAGGAGAGGTAGGCCATGTCCCTGCCCCAGGGAAGAGTTTTTCTCATGCCTCTTGGCTTCCCATGTTGAAAATAACCCCACCCTATAGCATGAATAATAAATACCCAGAGACTGATATTGGGGTTCAACCTGAAGATCAGAAAAGCAAAGTGGTCAGTTACTGGGTCTTACCTCTACCCCAGACTGAAATGGGTCTAGATCCTGAGTTTACAAACTCCCAAACTCCACAACCCACACTTCACAGTACACTGAGTTCCTGTCTCTTACCCCTTATATTCCTTTCTCTACCCAGCCATATCACTCCTGTCTCCACCTCCCTAGTGCTGGGTTTAAAATATGTTACCCCAAGGGCTGGGATCTCCTTAGTGTGAGCTCTATTACTCTTTTAGACAGATTTAATCTTCTGTAGCCCAGGCTGGCCTTGAATTACCAGAGACCCCTCTGCCTCTGTCTCTCAAGTCCTGGGATTAAAGGTTTGTGCCATCACTCCCTGGCCTGTATGGCTAACTAGTATGACTGCTTTTCTCTCTGATCTTCAGGCAAGCTTTGTTTATTAAAACACAAATAATACATTACTATACTACTCACTCCCAAACTGAACACTTACCATAAACCCTTCTTCCTAGTTAGGCAGAGTATCAGACTAATAACTGGCCTCAGGAAGGGTACAGATATTTTTTTCTCTTGACTTCGCAGAGGAGGGAGGGAACCAGGGGTGCACAATTCAGATGAGATACATTAAAAAAAAAAAACTGAGCAGACAGTGGAAGAGTCCGTGCTTTCTATGCTCAGTGTCAGTCTTCACTCCTAGATGCTCCTACCTTGCCACACTTTGTGGACCAGCATCGGGAGCAGCTGGTGGCCCGAGTGACATCAGTGGACCCTCTCTTGGACAAGCTGCTGCATGGTCTGGTACTGAGTGAAGAGGAGTATGAGGAGGTGCGAGCTGAATCCACCACTCAAAAGAAGATGCGGAAGCTCTTCAGCTCTAGCCGGTCCTGGACCAGGGTCTGCAAAGAGCAAGTCTACCAAGCTCTGAAGGAGACACATCCTCACTTGATCATGGAACTCCTTGAGCAGTCAGGAGGTGTCTCTGTGGGATCCTGACATCTTAGCGGCTGAGGGGTGAGAACTCTTCTTTGATTCCTGACTCTTCCTGATCATCCTTTGGCCCCCAGTTTCTCCATTTATAAACCAGTGGCCATCTGAATTGCCCTTCAAATGGCAATGTTTCCAGGACACCTCTTGGGGACCCAGATGTCCCTCTTGGCTCTCCCCATTCTGTTCATATGGGATGTGCATCTCAGGAAACTTCCAGTGGAGCCAGCAAGTCTATTCAGCCTTGTCCAGCTGGCTTTCATGGCCTGAGTGTCCAGTCTCAAAACCACCTGGCCAACCATGATACAAGCAGAACTGGGAGCATGGGAATGGAGGCAATGAGATGGTGCTTTCCCTGGAAAGTGAATTCTTATGAATAGGAAAGGAAGGGGGCTTCTTAAATATTTCCCACCCTCAGTTTTTGTTGTCTTTATTGATTCTATTTCTATTTTCATGTCTTGAACAACTTTATAAATTTTCTTCCTCTGTTTCTTTGTATTTTTAAATTTTTTATTGTTTTTTTTATTGAGCTCTACATTTTTCTCTGCTCCCCTCCCTGCCTCTCCTCTCTCCCCACCAACACTCCCCAAAGGTCCCCATGCTCCCAATTTACTCAGGAGATCTTGTCTTTTTCTACTTTCTACTTCCCGTGTAGATTAGATCTATGTAAGTCTCTCTTAGTCTCCTCATTGTTGTCTAAGTTCTCTGGTACTGTGGTTTGTAGGCTGGCTTTCTTTGCTTTATGTTTAAAAACCACCTATGAGTGAGTACATGTGATAATTGTCTGGGTTACCTCACTCAATGTTTTCTAGCTTCACCCATTTTCCTGCAAAATTAAAAATGTCGGTATTTTTTCTGCTGTGTAGTACTCCGTAGTGTAAATATACCATGTTTTCCTTATCCATTCTTCAATCAAGAGGCATTAGGTTGTTTAAAGATCCTGGTTATGACAAACAATGCTGCTATGAACATAGTTGAGCACATGTCCTTATGGCACGATTGAGCATCCTTTGGATATATACCCAAAAGTGGTGTTACTGGGTCTTCAGGAAGGTTGCCAAGATCACAAACACTGATGACAACTTATGCTGGAGAGGTTGTGGGGAAAAGGGAACACTTCTGCATTGCTGGTGGGAATGCAAGTTGGTATAACCCCTTTGAATGACAGTGTGGCAATTTCTCAGAAAATTAGGAAACAGCCTTCCACAAGACCCAGTGTTTTTTAAAATTTTTTTTAAGAGATTTGTTCATTTCCTCACACTGTTTGTGTTCTCCTGGATTTTTTTAAGGGATTTACTAATTTAATCTTTGAGGATCTCTATCATCTCCATACACGCTTTTGAGATCTTTTTTTCTTGTGCTTTAACTGTGTTGGAATATTCAGGGCTATCTGGGCTCTAGTGGAGACCTATTGACATGGATGTTATTGATTGTTTTTATGCCGGCATCTAGGCATCTGGAATTGGAATGATTATAGGTCTAGGTGCTAATATCTGAATTTGTTTTTGTTAGGTGAGTGTTCTGTACCTTGCTTACTGTTTATTCTGATTATAGGAGAGTGTGATGGGTGTTTGCTGCCTGGTAGGAAATTTTATGCACCTAATATTTGTGGTCAGTGAGGTTTCCCAGAAAATTTTATTTCTTATCATTGACAGCTGGCTGTTAGGAATGGGGCTAGGCTAAGAGTCTGAAGGAATTCACAGGAGGGAGGAGATCAGAGTGTTCTACAAGGACCTGCTTCTTTAGTCTCCTATGAGACTAAATAATAGGAGGTGTTGGGTCCCTAGATGACAGGCCTTCGCACCCTGGCTTGATCTGTTTTGCACTCTTGTGGTTGGTTGAAAACAGGAACAAAAACAGGGAAAAACTGTTGTTTTCAGTAATGTTTCTAAGGATGTTTACCCCTAAGCCATGTGAGTTACAGTGATGAGCTTCCCGCTTTTGCTGGCTTGTCCTCCCCTGCTGAGGGCTTTATATACTGTGTGAAAAAGTGGAATAAAGGCTTGTCTGCAGAACCTGAAGTTGTGCTGTGTGTTGATCCCAACGTCCCTCGCTCAGATGAACTACAGTTGCTGTGCTGGTGTGGCAGGAGGGACAGTGAACAGAGGTCACTCACAGGTCGGCTATAGCACTGGGGGTAAGACTGGATTGGATCTAGAAGAACAGAAGGAAAAAGGAAAATCTATACACAATCTACCTGCTTCCCCGGCAGGAGTAGCTTGTGGGTTTTCGGGGGTGTCTGCTAGAATTGGGGGCTGAGACAAAGCACAAGTTGGGTAGGGAGTCAGAGAGACGAAGGTCTGTGGGATCCACAGAAGACGTTGGCAGAGGAGGAAGGAAGGCTGAAAAACAGGTGCTCTGTTGCAGATATAGTGATGAGGCTGGGGTATTGGGTTTGGGGGAGAGGAAGGAGTGGTGAAGGTCCTCAGTTAGCTTACCTGTTTCCCTGACTGCTCAGATGGCAGCTGGTGTGATCACAGGAATGAATGTCAGCTGGTTTGGAGGCTGAGAGACTGGGATGAGTTGGGGGAAGGAAGGTTGGAGCAGAGGATCTTTGAGATTTGAAGGAAGTGGCATCAGAGGTGAAAGGAGACCACAGCAGGTGTTCTGTTACCAAGTTGAGGATGAGGTTGGGGTACTAGTAGCTGAGAAAAAGGAGAGGAGATCTGCAGTCAGCTAGCACAAAGCGATATGCCTTCTTCTCTAAGCCTCATGGAATTTTCCCAAAATTGATGAATACTCAAAACACAAAGCAAGTCTCAACAGATACAAGAAAATTGAAATAGCGTCTTGCATCCTATCCGATCATCATTGAATTACAGCTGGATCAACAACAACAGAAAGCATACAAACTCAGGGAAACTGAACAACTATCTTCTCAATAAAAAAAAAAAAAAAACAGAGCAAGCCCGGTGGTGGCGCACGCCTTTAATCCCAGCACTCGGGAGGCAGAGACAGGCAGATCTCTGTGAGTTCAAGACCAGCCTGGTCTACAAGAGCTAGTTCCAGGACAGGCTCCAAAACCACAGAGAAACCCTGTCTCGAAAAACCAAAAAAAAAGAAAATCAAAGAACCAAAATAAAAAAAAAAAGAGCAAGACAGAAATAAAGAAAGAAATTAAAGGCTTTCTAGAACTCAAGGAAAATGAATACATGGTATACCTAAACTTATGGGATACAATGAAAGCAGCGCTAAGAGGCCAGTTCATAATGCTAGTGAATACATTAAAAAAAAAAACTACAGAGATCTAATTCTAGCAACTTCACAAAACACCTGAAAGCTCTAGAAGAACAACAAAAGAATTCATCACATGCAAGAGGAGTAGATTGCAAGAAATAATTAAACTCAGGGTTGAAATCAATAAAATAGAAACAAAGAGAAAATTTTTTTTAAAAATCAATAAAATGTAGACAAATTTTTCTTTGGGCTGCAAGTTCACAAAAAATGACACAGTAGTTTATTATTAATTATGAAAGCTTTGCCCTAGCTTAGGCTGGTCGTACAAGTTCTCATAATTTAAATTAACCCATATTCTTAAATGTACATTCTTTTAGGGAGCTTGTTTACCTTTGCTCTGTATTGCCTGTCCTGCTTCCTCGACATCTGGCTGGTGACTCTGCCTTTCCTCTTCCCAGAGCTCTCTGCCCCAGGAAGTCCTGCCTTACTTCTTCCTATCTAGCTAATGACCATTCAGCTTTCCTTTTGTAAACCAATCCCAGTGACACGTCTTCATACAGTGAAAAGGAATATTCCACAACAATGGAACAAAGAGTTGTTTCTTTGGTTAAATCAACAAGATTGACAAACCCTTATCCAAATTTACTAAAGGGAGAGAGAAAGAATATTCAAATTAATGATATCAGAAACAAAAAGGGGGGACATAACAACAGACACCAAGGAAATCTAGAGAATCATAAGGACATGCTTTAAAACCCAGTACTTCACCAAATTGAAAAATCTAAAAGAAATGCATAATTTTCTCAATATATACCACTTACCAAAGTTAAATCAAGATCAGATAAGCCATTTAAACAGATATGTAACCCCTAGTAAAAATAAAGGTAGTCATTAAAAACCATCCAAACGAAAAAAGACCAGGACCAAGTGGTTTTAGTGTAGAATTCTACCAAACTTGCAACAAAGACTTTAATACCAATTCTCCTCAAACTATTCCACAAACTAGAAATGGAAGAAACTTTGCCAAACTGGTTTTATGAGGCTATAGTTATCATGACACCCAAATTAAAAAAGATTAACAATAAGAGAATTGCAGACCAATTTCCCTAATAAACATAGATGCAAAAATACTAATAAAATATTTGTGGTCTAGGCCTGGTGTACCCCAGAGGACAAGAACAGGTCCACCCCAGGTCTCTAGACTTGGGGAAGGGAGAATTTCACTGTCCTCTGGTACCAGGTAGTCACGCACCATTATGATTCTTGGCAGCAGAGTCCTGCCCAATGCCATGACAGTCTGAGCTGTAGTGATATTTCATTTGTATTTTAATAAATAAAGGTTTCCTGAAGTTCAGAGAGTAAAACAACCACACTGATCAGCCTTACAGACCAGGCAGTGATGACACACACCTTAAGTCCCAGTAGCCATACTAGTTTGCCATAGAAACCAGGCAGTAGTGGTGCTAGCCTTTAATCCCAACACCAGAGAGGATTATAAAATGGGAGGAGACAGCCCTCACACACAGTCTCATTCTGAGATTCCTGGAGGCAGGACTGCCATTTTGTACTGAGATAAGAGCCAGCGACTGGCTGTTTTGCTTTTCTGATCTTCAGGTTGAGTCCCAATTTCTATCTCTGGGTTTTTATTAATTGTGTTACACTTAGTCAGACAACAAGTAGACCCAGGGTTGACCGCCCCAGACTCTGAGGAGGGAACATGGTCCTGCCCAGAGCTATAATGAACTGAGTAGAAAAAAACATATGTGGCATTGTTATGATATACAAATGTATGGCATGGTATGGGAGAGAAAGGAAAGACAGAATGGTTCATGTCTTGTGGACAGAAGTATATCTAAAGAGGTGAAAGCAGTGAGGACCAAGAGAATGTGGTTGGTTTGATTGTCACCCAGGGCCACGGTGATGTCTGGGCCTGGGCCCAGGTCTGGGTTCATGACCCTGATGCAGCAGAGGTCTGTGTTGATGTCTGTGACTCCTGATACCACCAAAGGCCAAGAAGATAGGGCTGTACAGAGTTGGTCCTGCCTCTCACTGCCTGAAATACCTGGTAGAACTGGTCCTGCCTATCACTGGCTGAAGCACTCAGGAGAGTGGGTCCTACACCTCACCTGGGCAGCACAATAAAGCTAGGCTGTTTTGAGGGGCAAGATCGAGCTGGATTTGCGGAAGTGAGAATGGGGAGCAGATCATGCCTGTCTTGTGGTGAAGAAAACATGCCTCCCCTTGTCCCTTGCTCCTTGCCTCTTACCCTTGCCACCTGTAGCAGGTAGGAGACCTGAATCAAGCCCTCATCAGGTGTGGCACCCAGGAGAAAAAACCCTTTGCTTCACCTGGGCACCATAGTAG